TAGGGGGGGGGGGGGGGGGACCGAAAGATAGGTAAACAGACGCTCTGTGATTTATCAGTGTAACAAAAGCGCGACCAATTTGGGAGTAATGGCTGATCGTGAGCTTTGTCTCTCTCGTGGGTCCTATGTGCACATAAAAGAACAAAAATCGCTTGTCGGCTCTCTCCTCTTTGACTCCTTGTCTCCCTCTCTTTCTCTCTCTTTTTCTAAAACTTGAGCAATTCGCTCGTGAAGATTTCACGCGGCGTCATGCAGCGAGGAAAAGGAGAGCGACCGGGAGAGGCGCGCTCAGCCGATGGTGTGTACACTCTAGGTGTACGTAATCTCGATAGCTCCTCGGTTCCTCGTCGTTAGCCAAGCATGAAAAAGCATAGCGTGGGTAGGGTAGAGGACACACTCGGGCGAGGAGATGAGAGGAGCACGGAGGGAAGAAGGGAAAAGAAGGAGAAGAGGAGGTGGAGAGAAGAAGAGAGAGAGAGAGAAGGGAAGAGAGGGAGAACGAGAAGGTGAGCCACGTCGCTCCGGCTCGAAACTCTCGGACGCGTCGAGGAAGGACCCGAATGCGCGCGCGAGGAAGTAGAGGGAGGGGGGCAGGATGGCAGAGGAGAAGAAGAAGAGGAGGAGGATGGACGCGACGTGATGGCGGGCGGTGGAAGCGAGAGGCAAGGCGGCCAAAAAGCGCACGAGGAGAGCCCGTGGAAACACGATATAGCCGGACAGATCTCTCCGGGCCCTGGAAGGCGATATCCCTGATTCGTGCCGACGTGTGTGGATCATACTCGGGCCTCTGTTAGGCTCGCGGCACCGAAAAAACGGCGCTCCTCCTAATCGGAATCAAATCTGGCGGCCGTACGATTCCTCGCGCTCGAGACGACGCGGAAAAAGCGCGGAACGGCACGCCGCGAGTGTTTCTTGCCGGGTCGCCTCATCGCGGCGACTCCTCTTTTCTCTCTCCCTCCCCCCCTCCTCCTTCAGCTGGCGGAGATGGACAGGAACCCTTTGACCTCGGGCTCGCGTCGGTTGCCTTTGATTCTCGTCGCGTCTCGAAACGCGTCGGAAAACCGTTGCGAGTTTTGACAGCTACTGACACGGGAGACGGAAAAACGTCTGTTTGACAATTCGTAAGCGGACGCTGCAGTGTGTTGTCCTGTCGTCACGACGACGATCCCAGATGGACTTTCACGATTATCACGATGTGAGACAAACGAATGACGAAGCTGCAATTTTTGTATTACATTAATGAAGCAAATTCTTTTTCCTATATCAATGAAGAACTTCTCTTGTATCTTTTGTTTCGTCATTCTGTGTGATAAATATGAGTGCCGTGTGAACTGCACTCATGAGAGACGCAACCTTTACAAATCGACTAATAAAGGTTGCCGTCAAACTTAAGTACCTGGTGTCTATCTGTCAAGTCGAGACGAAGGCAAAAAATTGCATAATTCGCAGCCACGTATAATTTATAGCCGCAGCGCGCGCGAGTCTTCGTGCACGTGGCGGAGTACGGTAGAGTGTTCGCGGGCACACAGTATCCATCCACGCTGTATCCACGCGGAGAAAGCGAAATGCCGGGCCGAGGGTTGGTTAGTCTAGACTACCGAATCGACTAGGCCATATTTTTAATATTCGCGGGACGCTTGCACGCTTGCGCACGACGTCACCCCGGAGCGGACGAACCTTCTTCCACCCGACGGGAAGAAGGACTCCTCTCTGTGCGCGTCCACATTCAGCGAGAAAGACAGAGAGAAAGAGAGAGAAGCGCAGAGACAAAGAGACAGGGAAAGGGGGGGAAGGGGTGGGACGACGGCGCGGAGCGATGGTAAAAAAAATAAACAAGATAGGCGTACGCGGAGCGGGATGCATAATACACAGTGGTTACGGCAGACAGGAAGGAAGCGCAGCCAACCGCGAAGCCCGCGGGGTCTGAGAGAGGTGCATACGTAATTGCGGGGCCACGCGGGAGGCGCTGCTTTTATAAGAGTTAGGTCTTCTTCCCTCCCTCCCTCTCTCCCTTCCTCCCCGCCTCCCGTCGCCCTTCTCCACCACCCGCGACTCCCGGTGGTCGTGTACCCTCACTTCGCGACAACGACGACGACGATGACGACGATGACGATGACGATGACGACGAAGGAGAATAGAAAGAATAGCAAAAGAAGAGGAAAAAGATCCGGTGTTGTTGCCGTCGAGTCGAAGAGAGTGGCA